GCTCTTAGGTCTTTATGATATTTTTTGACTATTTGAGGACCATCTATGATCAATAAATATAAGGACCTAAGACCTATGGTTCTGCAACTATAAATAGTAAGGTTGGTTGATCTATTTCATTTTATATATTTTCATGTGTATGGTTGTATATATATTTATTTTTTATATAGGTTACTTCAAAGAATTGATGGTAAGGTAGCTGCAGACCCGTAGCTCTTAGGTCTTTATGATATTTTTTGACTATTTGAGGACCATCTATGTTCCATAAATATCATAAGGACCTAAGACCTATGGTTCCGCAGCTATAAATAGTAAGGTTGGTTGATCTATTTCATTTTATATATTTTCATGTGTATGGTTGTATATTTATTTTTTATATAGGTTACTTCGAAGAATTGATGGTAAGGTAGCTGCAGAACCGTAGTACTTAGGTCTTTATGATATTTTTTGACTATTTGAGGACCATCTATGTTGAATAAATATCATAAGGACCAAAGAGCTATGGTTCGGCAGCTTTAAATAGTAAGGTTGGTTGATCTATTTCATTTTATATATTTTCATGTGTATGGTTGTATATATATTTACTTTTTATATAGTTACTTTAAAGAATTGATGGTAAGGTAGCTGCAGAACCATAGCTCTTTGGTCTTTATGATTTTTTTCGACTATTTGAGGACCATCTATGTTCAATAAATATAAGGACCTAAGACCTATGGTTCCACAGCTTTAAAAAGTAAGGTTGGTTGATCTATTTCATTTTATATATTTTCATGTGTATGGTTGTATATATATTTATTTTTTATATAGGTTACTTCAAAGAATTGATGGTAAGGTAGCTGCAGAACCGTAGCTCTTAGGTCTTTATGATATTTTTTGACTATTTGAGGACCATCTATGTTCAATAAATATCATAAGGACCTAAGAGCTACAGTTTGCAGCTTAAATAGTAAGGTTGGTTGATCTATTTCATTTTATATATTTTCATGTGTATGGTTGTATATATATTTATTTTTTATATAGGTTACTTCAAAGAATTGATGGTAAGGTAGCTGCAGAACCGTAGCTCTTAGGTCTTTATGATATTTTTTGACTATTTGAGGACCATCTATGTTCAATAAATATCATAAGGACCTAAGAGCTACAGTTTGCAGCTTAAATAGTAAGGTTGGTTGATCTATTTCATTTTATATATTTTCATGTGTATGGTTGTATATATATTTATTTTTTATATAGGTTACTTCAAAGAATTGATGGTAAGGTAGCTGCAGAACCGTAGCTCTTAGGTCTTTATGATATTTTTTGACTATTTGAGGACCATCTATGTTCCATAAATATCATAAGGACCTAAGACCTATGGTTCTGCAACTATAAATAGTAAGGTTGGTTGATCTATTTCATTTTATATATTTTCATGTGTATGGTTGTATATTTTTTTTTTATATAGGTTACTTCGAAGAATTGATGGTAAGGTAGCTGCAGAACCGTAGCTCTTAGGTCTTTATGATATTTTTTGACTATTTGAGGACCATCTATGTTCCATAAATATCATAAGGACCTAAGACCTATGGTTCTGCAACTATAAATAGTAAGGTTGGTTGATCTATTTCATTTTATATATTTTCATGTGTATGGTTGTATATTTTTTTTTTATATAGGTTACTTCGAAGAATTGATGGTAAGGTAGCTGCAGAACCGTAGTACTTAGGTCTTTATGATATTTTTTGACTATTTGAGGACCATCTATGTTGAATAAATATCATAAGGACCAAAGAGCTATGGTTCGGCAGCTTTAAATAGTAAGGTTGGTTGATCTATTTCATTTTATATATTTTCATGTGTATGGTTGTATATATATTTACTTTTTATATAGTTATACTTTAAAGAATTGATGGTAAGGTAGCTGCAGAACCATAGCTCTTTGGTCTTTATGATTTTTTTCGACTATTTGAGGACCATCTATGTTCAATAAATATAAGGACCTAAGACCTATGGTTCTGCAGCTTTAAATAGTAAGGTTGGTTGATCTATTTCATTTTATATATTTTCATGTGTATGGTTGTATATATATTTATTTTTTATATAGGTTACTTCAAAGAATTGAAGGTAAGGTAGCTGCGTAACTGTAACTCTTAGGTCTTTATGATATTTTTTGACTATTTGAGGACCATCTATGTTCAATAAATATCATAAGGACCTAAGAGCTACAGTTTGCAGCATAAATAGTAAAGTTGGTTGATCTATTTCATTTTATATATTTTCATGTGTATGGTTGTATATATATTTACTTTTTATATAGGTTACTTTAAAGAATTGATGGTAAGGTAGCTGCGGAACCATAGCTCTTAGGTCTTTATGATATTTTTTGACTGTTTGAGGACCATCTATGTTGATTAAATACCATAAGGACCTAAGAGCTATGTTCCACAGCTATAAATAGTAAGGTTGGTTGATCTATTTCATTTTATATATTTTCATGTATATGGTTGTATGTATATTTATTTTTTATATAGGTTACTTCAAAGAATTGATGGTAAGGTAGCTGCGGAACCATAGCTCTTTGGTCTTTATGATATTTTTTGACTATATGAGGACCATCTATGTTCAATAAATATCATAAGGACCTAAGAGCTACAGTTTGCTGCATAAATAGTAAGGTTGATTGATCTATTTCATTTTATATGTTTTCATCTGTATGGTTGTATGTATATTTATTTTTTATATAGGTTACTTCAAAGAATTGATGGTAAGGTAGCTGCAGAACCGTAGCTCTTAGGTCTTTATGATATTTTTTGACTATTTGAGGACCATCTATGTTCCATAAATATCATAAGGACCTAAGACCTATGGTTACGCAGCTATAAATAGTAAGGTTGGTTGATCTATTTCATTTTATATATTTTCATGTGTATGGTTGTATATTTATTTTTTATATAGGTTACTTCGAAGAATTGATGGTAAGGTAGCTGCAGAACCGTAGCACTTAGGTCTTTATGATATTTTTTGACTATTTTAGGACCATCTATGTTCAATAAATATCATAAGGACCTAAGAGCTACAGTTTGCAGCATAAATAGTAAGGTTGGTTGATCTATTTCATTTTATATATTTTCATGTGTATGGTTGTATATATATTTATTTTTTATATAGGTTACTTCAAAGAATTGATGGTAAGGTAGCTGCAGAACTGTAGCACTCAGGTCTTTATGATATTTTTTGACTATTTTAGGACCATCTATGTTGAATAAATATCATAAGGACCTAAGAGCTACAGTTTGCAGCATAAATAGTAAGGTTGGTTGATCTATTTTCATTTTATATATTTTCATGTGTATGGTTGTATATATATTTATTTTTTATATAGGTTACTTCAAAGAATTGATGGTAAAGTAGCTGCGGAACCGTTGCTCTTAGGTCTTTATGATATTTTTTGACTATTTGAGGACCATCTATGTTGAATAAATATCATAAGGACCTAAGACCTATGGTTCCGCAGCTTTAAATAGTAAGGTTGGTTGATCTATTTCATTTTATATATTTTCATGTGTATGGTTGTATATATATTTATTTTTTATATAGGTTACTTCAAAGAATTGATGGTAAGGTAGCTGCAGAACCGTAGCTCTTAGGTCTTTATGATAATTTTTTACTATTTCATACCATCTATGTTCAATAAATGTTATAAGGACCTAAGAGCTACAGTTTGCAGCTTAAATAGTAAGGTTGGTTGAACTATTTCATTTTATATATTTTCATGTGTATGGTTGTATATATATTTATTTTTTATATAGGTTACTTCAAAGAATTGATGGTAAGGTAGATGCGGAACTGTAGCTCTTTGGTCTTTATGATATTTTTTGACTGTTTGAGGACCATCTATGTTGAATAAATACCATAAGGACCTAAGAGCTATGGTTCCGCAGCTATAAATAGTAAGGTTGGTTGATCTATTTCATTTTATATATTTTCATGTGTATGGTTGTATATATATTTGTTTTTTATATAGGTTACTTCAAAGAATTGATGGTAAGGTAGCTGCAGAACTGTAGCTCTTAGATCTTTATGATATTTTTTTACTATTTAAGGACCATCCATGTTGAATAAATATCATAAGGACCTAAGAGCTATGGTTTAGCAGCTATAAATAGTAAGGTTAATTGATCTATTTCATTTTATATATTTTCATGTGTATGGTTGTATATATATTTATTTTTTATGTAGGTTACTTGAAAGAATTGATGGTACTAGGTAGCAGAGGAACCGTAGCTCTTAGGTCTTTATGATATTTTTTGACTATTTGAGGACCATCTATGTTCAATAAATATCATAAGGACCTAAGAGCTACGGGTCCGCAGCTAATAGTAAGGTTGGTTGATCTATTTCATTTTATATATTTGCATGTGTATGGTTGTATATATATTTATATTTCATTTCAGAGTTCACTCACAAATGTTTAATTCGTAATTTTGTATTTTTGCTGATTCAGCTTAGAGAGGATGTTTCAGTAGTCGACCTTGAATATGGCTAACAGACCAGGGAGAGTGGCATACAGATTTCTGTAACTCTATACTATATACTCTATACTCTTTATGTTTTATTTTTATCACAGATGAAGCTAAATCTACTGTAAGCTATTATGAGAGAAGTGACAACAATTTTTCAAACATCACTAATCTTTATTATTTGTTTCCATTACAGAGTTCATACGGAGATATATAGTTAACAATACTGTATGTATTATTTCTGATGGTCTTTATATGTCCTATATGTGCAATTGTTTGTCTGAAAGAAATAAAATATGGTATTGACTATTGATTTCAATGGGGAAAAACACACAGAAGAAATCAACTTAAATACCTTCAAAGACTAATGGTATGATATTATACACCATTACATGTACATTGGCCAGTTGAATTCTTATCAGGATAATTAAAAAAAAAATAATTAAAAAAATAACTGTATTAGACATTATTATGTTTTTCTAACAGCTAGTAGCCATGTGAAGGGTGAGAACATATTTTCCAAGTCAGAAAACTGAAAACTAAAAGTTGTGAAAACATCTAGCTATCCGACCGAGAATTATTTTACCAGTTTAATATTTAAAGATACATGTACCAAGTATATTACCAAGATTTTGTATTAAAATAGCAATAGTAAATCCTGAGATTGGAATAGAACTTCCAAGGGGAGACAAATTCTATAAACACCAAGATTTGTTAATTCAATGGGAGATAACTCTGTAAAATATGCAGATTTTAATGCAGTTGAAATTCAAATCATTTTTCTATTTTTGACTTCCTTTTTTTTCCATCTTTATATTAATTTTACAAACTTAGGTGTTGATGTTATACTATTGTGAACATGTAGTAAGAAATCAAAACAATATTTAGTAAATGTTTATGTTGACAGAAATAGATTTATAAAATATATAATAATGTATCCATTTTAATTCCTTTTTAGGTTCTTTCTGTGACATGTTTTTCATGGTGTTGGGAATAAGACTTTGGGGTCTAATACATCTAAAAGGAAGGTAAGTACTAGAATGTTATTCCAGTTTTGAAGAGAAAAAAAAAACCAAATGTATTATAAAATTTCTTTGGAAAATTCTCTCTAGGCTTTTAGGAGTTGGTCAGGTCTACTCTCTCATTTATCAGTACCAGTATATAAGTTAATTTTAGGATCTGATGTAAATACATAAAAGTTTGTTGGGTTGCTGGATAGCTGTCTAATCCACATGTTCTCAACATCTATTAAACATTTATAGACTACCAGTATTTATATTAAATATATATAAGTATACCAACAATGATCAGTTTAAACAATTTTTGATGATGAGGCATTTTATATTTCAGGTTAACATCACAGCTTGTCCGTTATGATTGAGGTTGGGAATGGCCATTGGAGCTGACTTTTATGGTAAGAATCAGTACATAGATTTATGAACTATTCAACTTAGAGCATGTTGCTAGAATTTTTCATGTTATAAGTGTATGTATAATTTGGAAGGGGGTATCAAGATACAAATAAGGTAAGTCAAAGATTTGAATTTTGGATATCTTCTCTCTGTTTTTTTTAATCTAAATTAATCCCACTATATAGAAATTAAGAAATGTAGTATGATTGCCAATGAGACATTAATCAACCAGAAACCGCATGACAAGGATGTTAGCAACTATAGAATGCCATTTTATGGTCTTCAACAATGAGCAAAACCTATTCTGTATCGTTAGCTATATAAGGCCCCAACATGGCAAAATGTGAAATAATTCATATGAGAAAACCAATGACTTGATATAGGATAAAACAATAAACAAAAAAAAATATGATAGACAACAACAAACGACTTGTTTTTCATCTTTTTTTGCCAACAAAGACTGGTAGTCTAAAAGTTATGTCCACAAGTCACTTTAAAGCTAGGTAAAGAAATGTTATATGCATCAAAATTGTAATGTCCAGTTAATTTTATCTTTTGCATTAAATATTGTTTCAATTATTTTCACATAGTTTTGACAGATATGTTTAAGAATGAATATTTCTTTTGCAGGTAACTTTAACTGTGGCTGCATGAAAATGATTGGATGACTGTACCAGTAAAGAATGTAAATCAGACAATTTTTGTGTATGTGTGAGAAAATGTTTATAATTTTTTACAAACAAAAAAAAAAGTGTAAAGATTCTCCATTTTCAACAAGATTGTAAGTTATAGATAACTTATTTTGAATTTTAAAATCTCTCTTTTTACCATTAAAACCAAAGGATATATTCAGGTAGCTCTACTCATGTCCATTCTTGACAATTTTTTTGTCATGCATATTGATACTGAACTGGTTTTTGTCTCGCCTTGACAGAGTCAAAAAGCGAGACATAGGTATGCTGTTTCCGGTGTCGGCGGCGGCGGCGTCATCAACAATGTATTAGTTTGTGATTAGGTCTAGGTTATGGTGAACCACTAGTGGTAGGTCAATGATATTTGGTATGCAGTTGAATTAGCATTGGCACATCTCATTACCATGGAGATTATTTGGCCCTGCCCCCTCAGTCATGGTTTATTGACTTTGAAACTTTGCTTAGTTTTCATGTATTAGTTTGTGATTAGGTCAGTTTATGGGAAACCACTAGTGGTAGGTCAATGATATTTGGTATGCAGTTGTATAAGCATTGGCATATCTCATTTCCATGAAGATTATTTGGCCCCACCCCTTCAGTCATGGTCTGTTTACTTTGAAACTTTTGCTTAGTTTACAAGTTAATGTTTGTGTTTAGTTTTCTTTAAAGGGAATGACTTTTGAAAAGTCAATGGTATTTGGTATGCAGTTGTATTAGCATTGGCACATCTCATTTCCATGTAGATTGTTTAGCCCTGTACCTTTAGTCATGGTTCATTGACTTTGAATATTTGCATAACTTACATGTAAAAGTATTATTATTTTAATTTCAACATTTGCATTATCAAAATAACAAATAGGCGAGATATATCTCTGTGTTAACAGTTTATTGGTATGTACCGTTTTGTTTTGAGTTCATAGTTCAGATTGTATTCATTATTTTTTTCCCCTATGGCTAGATTTAATTGGTACTTTGAAAATTAATTGAAATGGACCACTTTTATTTGAAGACCTACTCTTTTAGATATATTAATAATTGTCCATGTCTAGTCAAAACACTTCCAGAAGTTAAGAATGGAGAATCTTAAAATAAAAGAAAAAATGAAATGTATATTTTGTCTCTCACCGTTGTTAAATATATATCTTTTCCGAATTTTTTCGTTTTTTTATGCCCCTGCCATAGGGAAAGGAGGCATTCAGTGTTACCCTTGATGTCCTTCTGTCCTTTTGTTGTTCCTTTTGTCCCATTTTTGTTTCCGCACTAACTTTTAAGAGTAATGCCCCTTTATCAGTTGGAAAGTTGCAAATTTGGGCAGTGAGTCACTTACTTTTCTAGAGTTATGCTCCTTTTTACAATTTTTAAAATTGCAAAGCTTGAGCAAGGGCATCGTGTCCTCAGACACATTCTTCTTTTATTTTTTAGCTGAGTTTGATATAATTTATATTTTTATCAATTGTTTTGTTCTGAATAATTATACATTTTTTTATACTGTCTAAAGTATACTTTCTGAGACGGTCTTCAGAGCATTAGGTTTTGGACTCAGGTTTCCAACATTAATTTCCCACTACAAATTCAGTTTTTATAGAAGTTTGACCAAGTTCACTCCTTTTAGTCGGTTGTCATGGTTGTTCCTGGCAGGGAGATTGTTGATGATAGAGATTTTGTCATTATTTGGTATTTAACAAATACAGCATAAAAGCATTTCATCAATTATGATTTTTATGATTATCTTTTATGTATATATGCTTACAATTTGTATACATGGATATTGTTTTAAAAATCATTAAAATCTGGTGTCCAGAAGAGCTGTCTGGGTTATCAGCTACATGAATATATTGCATTGTTAGTTTTGTTTAAGCCTAAATATTTAAGGGATAGAAGTTATAGTAATATTATATGAATAGACTCGTTAATGAAATTTATTTGAGAATGTCATGGACCATAGAAGTACAGGTCAAGTTAGATTATGATTTTATTCACAATTACTGTTCAAGATTTGTGGCTTGCCTTTGAAAATGTTATTTCTTTGATATCTGAATGATAATTATAATAGTACCACTTGACCCAATCCTTTGAAATTGTACATAATATCATGGATCATTGAAAAACTGTTCAAGGTCCATTTTGATGGTTTTGAGAATAACCGTTCAAGAGTTATGCCCCTTAGTTACCTTAAACATTTAACTTTCTTATTTCCAGATGATAATGAAGTAATGTTTGACAAAAACTTTTTTGATTTTAACACTTAATTTATGAAACACAAAATACTGGTCCCATTCATTTTTAATTTTGGTATTTCATTTACTGTTTTTTTTCTGCAAGCAGGTGTATCTGCTCAATTATTAGATCTTATCACATAAATCTAGTTTGAATCTGGACGGCAAATGCCAGTAACAGGAAAGAGGTTTCTGAAATTAGGGGTATTTCACATGATTTAATTTTTTCAGTCACTCGGTTAAGTTTAGTTTATGACTAATTTATTTCTGATCAACGAGACAAAAGGGATAGCCACAACTTGTGAACTTGTAGAAATTGTTTAAATGGATTCAAGTTAATATTTCGAAAGACGCGCACTGCATACATATGGGATAAAAACACGTTTACGTCCTTTGTGTTTTTTTTATTCACTTTTGTGCTACAGTGTGCTCTCTTTAACACAAATGAGATCCTTTGCAGTGATTTTAGAGGCCAGTGTGTATACATGTATGTTGTGTGACTTGTGTGACATGTTTATTTGAAAAAGCAGTTCAAGGAACAGATTGTGTATTGCCTGTTGATTGTGTATTGCCTGTTGATTGTGTATTGTGTATCAGTTGAACAAAAAAAAAAACATTCATTTCATACAAAATATACAATTTCTGCTGAAAAGTAGCTTAATACCAACACTTAGCATCCTTCATCCTAACCTTAAATCTCCTGTGAAACTACAAGGCCAAATTTACCAGACTTTATCTGAATGCTTCTTAGAGTATCTAGTTTAGAAAGACTTGGCCACTGATGCTTAAAAAAGAACATAGGCCTAGGGTAAAATGCACTTTTTGGCTTGACTTTCAATAATTAAAGCAGTTAGCAAGAGTAAAATGATCAACAGTTCAGATTTATCTCTATGTAATTTTCAGAAAAATAGGACAATCCAGTTTTAAAATTTTGTCGAGCCTGCGACTTTTGTCGCAGAAAGCTCGACATAGGGATAGTGATCCGGCGGCGTTAGCTAACTTCTTAAAAGCTTTATATTTTAGAAGCTAGAAGACCTGGATGCTTCATACTTTGTATATAGATGCCTAATGTTACGAAGTTTCCGTCTGTCATATGTCCATTGTCCTTGACCTCATTTTCATGGTTCAGTGACTACTTGAAAAAAAAGTCAACATTTTTTGTAATGTTAATTTCTTTCTTGTTATGAGTAATAGGATAACTATATTTATTATGTGCGTACCTTGCAAGGTCCTCATGCCCGTCAGACAATTTTCATTTGACCTCGACCTCATTTCATGGATCAGTGAACAAGGTTAAGTTTTCGTGGTCAAGTCCATATATCAGATACTATAAGCAGTAGGTCTACTATATTTGGTATATGGAATGATTGTAAGGTGTACATGTCCAACTGGTAGGTGTCATCTGACCTTGACCTCATTTTCATGGTTCAGTGGTCAAAGTTAAGTTTTTGAGTTTTGGTGTTTTTTAATTTCATTTCTCAGTGTTAAGTTTTTGTGTTTTGGTCTGTTTTTCTTCAACTTCAAATGGAAGGATTGTAAGGTGTATATGTCTGTCTGGTAGGTATCATCTGACCTTGGCCTCATTTTCATGGATCATTGGTCAATGTTAAGTTTTCTTGGTTAAGACTGTTTCTTAGAAACTATAAGCAATAGGTCAACTATGTTTGGTTTATTGAATGATTGTAAGGTGTACATGTATTTCTCGTTTGGTTTATCTGACCTTGACCTCATTTTCTTGGATCATGTTAAGTTTATGTGTTACTTGTAGTAAAGCTTTATATTTAGGACTATCAACATAAAATCAATGGTTAGTAAAGAAGGCGAGACATTTCAGCGTGTGCACTCTTGTTTCTTTATTATTTTGGGTTGATACCACTGTATGTGGACTACCAGCCCCCAAGGGTATCAGTAATCAATACTTGGGTATTGACATGATTTATAACAAACCTTTCTTAAATTGTCTGTTTATAAATTATAAAATTATTAAGAAACTATTAGGTTTCAACTCCCTGAGACAAAGATGACCTTAGAAGGATTTGGCTTTTATTTTTAGGTCCATTTTGGTGATATAGCTCAACTGTTTTGATTCTTATACAGCTTTGGCTTTCAAATATTTAGCATTGAGTATTCCAGAAAAGAACTTCTGACGCATGAAAATTACAGTGTTTTCATTTTTTGAATACTAATATGATAGATATTGAGAAACAGCAAAAATTACCAGAACACTTAGTTCTACAAGAGACATATATACAAAGAGATTGGCAAGACAGTGAAATCACATTAATAAACCACTTTCCAGTTTGTTGCATTTCCATCAAAATCTTTGGTTTTAGTGAACCTCATTTGTGCGTTTAGGGGCATCATCACTTTCTTCCCATGTTGAGCGAGCTGTTGAAAAATATGATGCTGTATTGCACTAATTATTCTGCAAATTAAGTTCTTATAATTGATAATAAGTACTGCTGTCATTAGGGAATTTTGATAAGAATATTAGAAAATCATATAATTTTTTAATATTAAAACTGATTTTCTAATATAAATCAATATTAAAAAAAGGGAATAAATTCCCCAACGGCTTGCCATATATATTAGGGTCTTGATGAGCGTCCTTAATTTCTGTATACTATAAATTTTTAGGGCATTTTTCTTTATCTTAAAAAATAATGCTTATTCCGTAAAATGTTCTTGAAAATTATTTAAGGTGGATTAGTGGTATATATTTCCTCAGATAGAATTTTTCTTATACTTTGCCTTAATGAAGATTTTACTATTTTTTTTTTAGAAATATAATAAATAGTATGGGTAACTATTTTCCAAGCTACAAGTCGTGCAAAATT